TTTCAGCAAGATTATGATGAATGTGAATATTTAACAAAGGATCCAGGCGGAAATCTTCAGAGTGCTCTCCAGCCAAAGTAAGAGCTTCACTATACAATGATGTAGCTTGAGAAAAATCTTTTTGTATTGCAGCAATAGCTGCAAGCGCATTCAGAGCAATAACTAACTTCCTTAGAGCTTCTTCACCTTCTATCTTGGTCTTGCTTATAAGAACCTACAGATTAAGTTCCATAAGAATTTCACAGACATTTGTATATTGTATGTAAAAACAAATCAAAGATCCTTCCAAGTAACATACCATTAGTATTTCCTCCATAGTCATTGGTGTCTGCTGCAGGGAGCGCAACCCAGAACTTCCAACTTGGGGATGACAACAAGCTTGACGAAGCTTTAGCAAAGCATTCAGTAGCTTCCCTGCCTCGGTATGAGTGATTAAAGGATCAGTGGAACCTCGCAAAGAGATAGAATCTGGAATATGCATCAAATATTGCAAGTTCAATCATTACTCTTGATGCACATTTCTTCAAAGGACTTATAAAACGAAATTAGATAACACTGGGCAACAACCTGGGCCTTTTCTATTAAGAATATCATTTCGCAAACTTTCAATAACTTCATGGGCATCTCTAACACAATTTTCATGTTGCCTCTGGTAAAAGTGCTCCTCTACTGGTGAGAGTGTAAGCCAAGAGAGGCACTCTTCTTGGGAAGGAAGGTCCAATTCATCAGCAACATGTTCTTTAGAAGAACGCCACATTATTTGTTTCAAAACTTTGTGTGTGAATTGCATAGCTCCCACATCTCCCTTCTGCATAAGAGTGGAGTAACTTTTTGAACTTTGTTGAAAGGAGAAGTGATTTAGATGTACCACATGACAAAAGTAGAGATGTCTAAACTAAAATAATATTGCAAAAAGGTAAGCTATTGTCTCTAATCACACGAGGCTTATACCATGTCATATGAGAATACAATTAGGAATTGATTTCAACATTAATTCTACCTGCTACGTGTCTAAGATTATTAAGTTGTTTTTCGCACTTGGGTGACCATAGGGGAATACAACTTAAACTCCTAGTAAATATTCATTTTTTATAAATAAAATAATAATCAAAGAAACTAGCAATAAGGAAAGTCAGTCAGCACCAAGTTTGTAAAACATGAATTAAAATGAAAATACCTCATAAGGATCTCGAATAACATCAGTCCACCACCTGTATTTATCAAAAGGACTAGCCACAAGGAACCTCAGAAGTCCATATAAGTCATCAAGCTTTCGCTGAATTGGGGTACCAGTAATGCACCAACGATACTTTGAATGAAGTCTTAGAGCCATTTCAGTGGAAGCTGTAGTATTACTCTCCACCATTTGTGCCTCATCCAAGCAAACCCTCCACCAATATATTCTTGTAAGAAGAGTTGGGATGACAGGGTACCTAAAAGGAAAAAGAGGCTACTAAAATACTACCATAATGGACTTACTGAAATCTAAATTTTTTCTAATAATATAACATGAGTATAAGTGGATGATTCATGTAAAGTTAAAAATTAGATATCATAAAGAAAATATAACACCTCAAAGACACAATCAAAACCTAATAGATGAAAAGTAAAATCAAACTCATAAACTCATATTGAAATGTATAGATAAAATATCCTACATATTATACATAACAAAGGAGGAATATGGTAGTTTTTAGGGCAAACCTTTTCTGAAACCTCAGAAAGTGCCGATCACCTACATGCCTATCAGAATCGTGGGACAGATCCTCTCTAAGCACATCATATGTAGTTAATACAATGTCAGCGCTGGCAAGATCACTGATATCCATCACAGACATATGAGAAAAAGACGTTTCTCGCACTCCTTCATAAACACAAGTTTTCAAGGAGCCTTGATGTGTATGGCTACAATGACAAATATAGTTAATGAAACAGTTGTGCCTATAATTAAATTACATAACTAAAAATGCATTACACTTTGTGATCATACTTCAGACATTATTAAAGCATGGAGCAAGCACATTACTCCCCTGTCCATATAGGATAATATTGGGAAAAACCTAAGTCCCTAGGGATAGTGCTAAAATACAATATATAAGGGGAGGAGATCGTCACCTTATAAGATAGTTTTATAGTTCGGCCTAAACCACGTTGAAAGAGAAAAAACAAAAAATAGGACCTTACCCAGAATTTACGGAGTAGGAGGATCCAATCCTCCTAAAGATGGCAACGCACACATACACCAAAAAATAGCATTCATAGTTTTGATTAAGAAAAAATATACCATATGATTTCATCATGCCACTGGGGCAAAATAGGAGCTGGGCAGACAATGAGAGTGGCGCCAGAGGCAATAGGAGATTCTGTAGCTTGTATCAGTTCAGAGCACATACGACATACATATTCTCCATCCCTCACGGCCATGGTAGTTTTATATGTCCTGCTTTCGCATCCTTGTTTTGATTTCAAAGATTTTCCTTTAGATGAATAACCAACACAGTCCGCATGTTGCCAAGCATCACAAATGTCACACTGAACCCATAGTCCTTCATATTTAAGACTTTCACTCACAGCTCCACATATACACTCCACACGCTCTCTTTTAAGTCTTTTCAAAGTGACGTTTTGGTCCCCATTAATTTGGGGGTCTAAATCAAATAATATGTCACTGCCAGATGCTGATCTGCGGTGAGTAAAGATACAAGCAAGCAATTCAACAGTTTTTCCCAAGCCCATCTCATCTGTTGCATTAAAAAAATTAGTCATAGAAGACTGAATTTTCACTGAAAAATGGAAAACTATATACATACAACACCAGCACAGTTTGTCAAAAATATGGATAAAGACCAACTATAATACTAAGTCAAAGACCAACCTCTCCATAAAACCTAAGCTATTGGTGGATGGCAAAAGAATGATTCATATAAATAATAGATATAAACAAGAACTGATAGAATTTCAACAGCAAGATGCCATCAGCAGACTCATGATCTTAAAGCCACAAAATCCAATGGATTATTCATTATGTAATAAATTTGATTGTAAACAATCAATTTATTACACATTCAAAAGAGACCAACAAGCAAAAAGACTTTCTTTATATATAAAACAGTAGTTTCTACACTGGTAAATATCCAAAATCTTTGAAACTAGAATGAAGCTAAAAATCTAAATGATTATGAGGAAAAAAATGAAATATGCAACATAGGTAGGGACCTACCAGCAAGAATGCCTCCAAATACATAAGGTGAAGAAGTCTCTGGGCATAATGAAATATTTCCACTGAAGCCATTGTAATTCAAATAAGCACAAGGGAAGAAAGAATGAATTCATAATAGTTGGGGGAGAGAGTGACCATCCGGACATGAATAATAAATAATAATGCATGGATATTATATTTTGAAAACTAATCAATAAAAGTTTTATTATAAAACTTACCTGAATGGATTGAAAAACATTTGAGACTTGTTGTCCAGAAAATCCACAGGTATACATAATGGATAATGAAACTGCTTTCTTTCTCTTTCAACCTTACTTTCTTCCACTGCTTTCTCTCGTTCCACCATCCAGAAAGCTGCGCGCCTTTGATATGGCCTCAATTTAGGAAGTAACTCTGGTATGTCATCTTCAAGCATTGGCTCTGCTCTGTACACAAGATATACGAAAGATAAACAAAAAGCTAAACAAAATTTTTAACAGGATATTGATTATCACTAGACATGGGTGAAAACTGAAGTATGCTATCATATGACCAATGGACCATTTTACCAACTATTCGTACCATTAATTAGAATTCAACGCCAAAGAAAATGCTTAACTTACTTTGAAGGCTTGATGGCTTCATATAAACCTGCAGGATCAAACCTTGCATGTTTCCTTGCTTTGCAAATGTCATCTTCCATCTCTGTCTGTGGATCAACATCCATTTTCATACAGCTAAAGAACCCATATCTAACTTCAGAAGTCATTATTTCTGGACGCAACCAAGACATTACGTTCACCATACTCTTTTTCCATAGTTGTCTAGAAGTATCAAGAAGTGACTCACATGCATGAAAGGCGTTCTTCAGTACCTCAACCCTTACCCTGAGGGAGGAAATTTCCTCAGAAAGCCTAACCCCAAGAACTGGCCTCAATGTAACAAACTTCAAACTTGCCAAGTGAAGAAGACCAGTAACACCTTCATCGGGTCCATCAAAAATACCAGATACAATCACTGTACATGTTTCCACATGGTCAACGGCAACTCTTCGCACAAACTCTAGATGAATATCAGTATAGGGTAAGACAGGCCAATGGCCTAATTTAATTCGACCAAGAACATTACTGACATTACATACTCGAAATCTTAACCAGTACTGCTGATCCCGACAAAAATCTTCGGACAATTCAAAACCAGAAAAATCTTCACTCAAATTTAAATCCCTCAAAACAACCTCAGAAATATCAAGGTGTTCACTCGACAACCAATCCACCCGAGCAACCTCCACAAAATAAGGCTTATCTATGCCACCAGAATCACCTTTTGCTTCTTCCCCTCCTTCTACAATATTTTGTTTATCCAATACTGTCTCAGCAGAAGCATTTGTCTCTAGTATTATCCCACCTGCTCGATGTGGTTTGCCTTTTCGCCTCCCCATCACTTTTCAGCACTGGATAAAACAAAAATTGCTAAGCTATATTTCATAACATATTACAGAACAAGTATTACTCATGATTTTACAGAATCGAAACTGAAGCTCAACATGAAGCTGAAAAACTAAGATTTATCACTTAGACTTCGGTTTCAAAACAACACAAGCACAATAGTCAGATGAAACTCCGTTCTTAAACTATCATAATAGGAAGGTAAGAACAAAAAAAAAAAAAGAATTAAACATAGCATAAGGCAAAGTAAAGAAGATGGAATGAGAAACATTCAGGAGTTGATAGATGCAACTACGTAACAAGAGATTGGAAAGAACAGAGGCTGAAGTGAATCTCAGGGTAAGAGCAAGGGATCAATTGCACCGCCATAAATAGCCTAATACCGAAAGTCGGGAACTTGAGTTAATTTTGAGAGACCCAATAGAGGAACGAGTCTTGCACGTGAATTTTTGCATGGGAAAAAAAAGGAAGGGGGCTTGGAATTGGAACCTGAAGAGAGTGAAGAGAGCATGAATTGGGGAAGCGTGAGAGAAAGAGCATGCAGCGGAGAGTGAGTCGCACGCGCGAGTTTGCAAATGGGAAAAAAGCTGGAGAAAGAGATAGATTGGTAGATAAATAGAATGCGAAAACAAAATAAAAGTGTGTTTTGGTTGAGAGTGAGAGTGTTGGATGGTGCCGTTGTTACAGCCGCAAACGTTGTTTGCAACGAATCCAGCGGCCTTGGATCCACTCCATCTTACCAACATCGCCGTTTTACCCCTCTCTTTTATTCAATTTACATTGTTTATCCATCTTTAATTATTAGGTTAATAGGTATAATAAATGATAACGACGAAATCACATTTTCTTTTTTATAAAATGATGAGAAAAAATCACAAGAGAAAAATGTTATATAAGAAAAGAATTATATTAATAATATATAAAAATTAAATTCAATGATTAATACTCTACTCGTCCAAATTTTCGTTAAATTTCTAAATCTCAATTTTTTTTTCTTGGAAAAATTTCGTATATAGAAATCTTATATTCAAGTCTTACGTTAAAAGTTTGTTCTAGTTAAACCATCCACGTCATCATCGTAACACCTGAATAAAATAATCTCTTACAACAACCACAAGAAAATTCAAGTGACCGAGAAAAAACAACTAAAAAAATCGTTCTTTTACTCAACTTCGATCGTCATGGCGGTTTCGGGGTTGAGAAGCGGTGGTTTACCTCTCTTCCACCACCATCACCACCACCTTCTCTTCCTTCAATACCCTCCTTCCTTCGCCAAATTCAACGTTCTTCGCTCCAAGTCAAAGAAGGGGTTTACTGTTGTCGCTCGCTATGCGCAAGAGCGAGAGCTTTTCTCTGCTCGTCGACTCCAAGGTTCCCTTTTTCAGCAATTTTTTTCTACTTGCCTCTCGCTTTTCCACTTTGACAAGTTGGGTGTTTTTGTTGTGTCAGATAGCATGGAGAAGCTTCCGAAGCTGGTGGAGGACATTGTGGAGACATCCTTAAACACCGGTCCCAGGGGTGTCCTTAGGTTGGCTCAAGGGGTTCAGGCCTTCGTTGGCGTTGGTCAGGAGTGGTTAACTGATGTCTCTAAGGTAATCATAACACTTTATCTCAGGGTTTGGTCAACAGCTTAATTCAAGAAGAGCTTGTGTCATAAGCGCATAATTCAATTAAAAGTTATTTTGACGAGTGTAGCAGAGAAGCTTGTTGAAAAAGATTATGGGGTCTGTGGATAAACTCTTCCGAAGCACTTACAGAAAAAGAATTTAGGATGAAAAAAAAAAAACAACTCCGTAAACTAAACTTAGGTTGTGTACAACTTAATCAGCTTTTAAAAATCCTAATAATAATATGATAGAACTTCTACGAATTATCTAATGCTTAAACTAATTTTAGTGAGTGAACGGGGTTTTATCTTTTAAAAAGTAGGTCAACGCCATTTGTGGATTTGGTATGGACTGTGCAATTGATTGTACATAAGTTATCACCTCTGTCCACATTTTTATAAAGTAAAGGAGGATATTTTTTTAGTCATATCATGTAATTTTGGAACATAATTTTATTATGAATGTGTAAGCTAAGCTCTGAGATATCTTACCGGTAAATAGATTTCAAATTAAGCACCTGTTCTTGCTGTCTTGCTTCCTTTTGAAAAATAATTAATACTCCTCTATTTCTATCGTAATATATTTTTTGGTTTCTTGAATTATTTTTAGTCGGCCAATACATCAGCTGGATTACCAACTGAAATGCAGCTTGGTTTACTCTCCCCCTTTTATTTGAGGAGGTTGTTTGAGCGCATGGGAGCAACCTATATCAAATTGGGTCAGGTACGTATGAGTGGATTCCCCTTCTTATTCCTGCCCCTCCCAGTTTTTATTTCATAATATTGAGTCAAAAACGATTATACGTGTTTTTTTTTTTCAGTGTAAATTGGTTATATCATCAGTATTTAATATTTTAATTAACTTTAGTTGGAGAAGAGTAGTGCCAGTTGCAGATAAATTTATAAGTTATAGCTAATTTGGTAGTGGATCTTCTTTATGTCATGCAATGCACCTTTGTACTGATGATTATATTTGGTTCTGTGCGGTAGTTCATAGCATCAGCGCCAACTCTGTTTCCACCTGAGTATGTACAAGAATTCCAAAATTGTTTTGATAGGGCTCCTCCTGTTCCTTATGAGGAAATTGAATCTATATTGCGTAAGGAACTAGGAAAACCATTGGAAAGTGTTTATGAATACATTGACCCAACACCCATTGCTTCGGCTTCTATAGCACAGGTATATTTTGTGCACCTATATTCTCTTTCAAAAACTTTTTATTCGGATTACTATGTGGAGGCTAATACAATATATTACATCTAGGTTCATGGTGCAAGGCTTAAAGGCTCGCAGGATGATGTGGTTATAAAGGTCTTAAAACCAGGAATAGAAGACATATTAGTGGCAGATCTTAATTTTGTTTATGTTGTTGCTCGAATATTGGAGTTCTTGAGTCCTGAAATAAGCCGAACATCACTTGTAAGCAATATGGGTACTTTTACCTTTACATGGATATTTTTGCTTCAGCATGAAAATAGTGCTTTATCTTCAATAAGCATTTGTCCCCAAACACTGAATAAAATTCTTAATTATGTTGCCAATATTCAATTATCCTCTGTTCTCATCGGTTGTACTAAAATCATTGTTTTTGCTAGTATGTTATATAGAAAAGAAATTTAGAACATTTTTTCACACTCCTCTGTTGCTATTTTCTTGATTGTAAATAAACGGTAGTGGCCAGAATTTTCTTGTAATATAAGCAATTTTTTAGTAGGTTGGTATTGTCAAAGATATACGAGAGTCTATGCTTGAAGAAGTTGACTTTTACAAGGAAGCTGCAAATATTGAGGCTTTCAGGAGATATTTAGAAGCAATGGGACTAACGGGGAATGCCACAGCTCCCAAAGTGTATCAGTACTGTAGTACAAAGAAAGTTTTAACTATGCAAAGATTGTATGGAGTTCCTCTTACTGACCTAGACTCCATAAGCTCATTAGTTTCTAATCCAGAAACCAGCCTTATAACTGCTCTCAATGTGTGGTATGACTCTGAAATTATATTTTGCAGTGAACATCCCTATATCTTCTCCCTTTTTAACCATGGACTTTGTGTATCTTAGAATTAAACGTTGTTGTAGGTTTGGAAGTTTGCTTGCATGTGAATCTTTTCATGCAGATGTACATGCAGGAAATCTGTGGCTTCTACGTGATGGCCGTATTGGGTTTCTTGACTTTGGTATGCTTCAGCTTCATCTTCTTTGTGCATATTTATAGATATGGCTTTAACTTGTTGTGCATTTGTCATCTGTGAATGTTCTAATGTTTGAAATAGTCTATACGTTTTACTTGAAATTAAGGTGTTTTAACATGTTTCTATGAATGAGTTTATCCTTTAGCAATGCTTATTTCAGGGCTTAATCTTGTAAACTCTAATCACTGTTGCCCTGCTTCTTCTTTTTTTATGAACTTGATCACCATTTATTTTCTCAAAACTACAAGTTTTACAGTATTTGGTTGTGTTATGCACTCATATTTGTTTGGGTTTTGAGTAAACAAAAAAAATTCTATCTGCAGGAATTGTTGGTCGCATATCCCCTAAAACATGGGCTGCTATGGAAGTCTTCTTAGGATCATTTGCCATTGAAGATTATGACTCCATGGCATCTGCCTTAATTGAAATGGGTGCTACAAACACCGATGTTGATGCTAGGGCCTTTGCCATAGATTTGGAAAAAGTATTCTCATCAATTAAGGCAAGTGTCTCAACTCACCTATACTCATTTGTCAGCCTTATGTGACTACATGGTAAATGTGTATGTACTTTGCTAATTTGAAGAGCAAATGTGTTTGTCTACGTGCATGCATTTGGTCTTTCAACCTTGATCAGTTGCTCAAGATCCCATGTTTACGATTTTCTCTACTCACTCAAAATAGAATATGTCGGTGCTCTCACTTAATGAATTCTTTATGGATTTGGATCCTTTCATCCTAGAGTTTCACAGGGACATGTGGGGAGAGAGAGACTCGGACCATAAATGTGATAAAGGACTAGAGACCTGCATAGCTTCTTGGTACATCGATCATTCCTTTGCTTGTAAACAGTGTTTAGTATTCTAGTTAAGGAAAAATTAAAATATCTCCTTTATTAGGTGGTCTATATTCATGCCTCCTAAATTCTGGGGTTAGTTTGGATAATATAGAGGTCTTGTTATATCAATTATCTAATAGGCAGAGTGTCATCTAGATAAGGTATTTTTCCCGTTATTGTAGATGAGCACTTCCATCAGGTAACATTATGCATATAACCTGGTCCAAAATCATTTAGTGCTAGCTGCTGTTATTGCTTACATTTTTTGCATTTGTGACTACTATGCAAATGCAGGAGTTGGACACTGAAATAGTTGTAGCAACTACAAGTAGAACAGCCACAAATGCAACTTCTGTAGCAGCTAATATAGTTTTTGATGAAAGGCAGATGAATGCACTCTTTCTTGACGTGGTAAGTTATTTTAGATTGAACTGACCAGAACCCAAAGACAAAAATCTGTCAATGTAAAAGGTTTAAATTCTCATTGTTTACTACCAATATTTGAATTGACACATGTATGGAGTTTTGCTACTCATAAAGCAACATCCTTTAAGTTTTACAAACGAAGATAACACTTCAAAATTGCTGTCAGTTTGCTACTCTGTTAGTTTGATGTCTCTAACATAATTAATACAGCACATGGCAGTAGATAATATTGCAATATTTTAATCCATAAACCAAAAGTCTTTCTTCAACTAGAAATCGTAATGAATAATCATTTTGGATAAACATGAAAAATTTTCATATTAATGTAAGTCAAACTACATTCCCATGTTCCACAGTCCCAGAAATTGAAATGGGAAGCATCTTGTTTCCATCATACAGTGATCCTTCCTGATTTATGTTGGTTGTTTGATGAAGGCTTAATATATTTATGTAGTGCTTTTGTTTGTGTTCTACAGGTTCAGGTTAGTGAATCATATGGATTAAAGTTTCCTCGTGAATTTGCTCTTCTCCTGAAACAGCTCTTGTACTTTGACCGGTACACACGGTTGCTGGCTCCAAATTTGAACATGCTGCAAGATCAGAGGATTTCCATTGCCTCCAATAGAAGAACCAGGTACAGAGACAATTATTAAAGAGTCTGTACACAAAATCTAGATGTACCCCATTTTGGTTGAAAAGATTTAATTTGTATTATTACATTGGTAAATAAATAAAATAATCCATAGTTATCATGTGAGATAGCATAGCTCATTTGGTTGGAATTTTCATTTGAATTCAACATCCTTAATATAATATAATTTTTGTTGCTGTCCCTCCACTTCCTGGAAAAAGAATCAACTTTTAAGGAAATATGTATTCCTTCCGTTTCATGACACTTGCAATTAATGTATTATCTTGGGATAAAAATAAGAAATTTGCGAAGAAAATGGTCCATCTTTTTAAAAGAAGCTAATTCAATTATCCGAGGTTTTGAAAGGATCGTCCAATATATCAAATGATGTCTTGTTAGATTAAAACATGCTTAGGAAATATACTCTTTCAACAGATTTACTCCCTTAATTTTCTCTTACCACCCAAGAATGAAATACAGAACCATTTCTTAGCTAATTATGAGAATGGTCATTTAACGATCAAGGTCTGGTTCAATGTTTATCAGTCTAACAGTAGATGTTGAATCGGTATTTAATAAAATAATATTAATAATTAAATTGTATATGAACCAGTATTAATATTAACATTAAAGTATATATAAAATAGAGGTATATAATATCATAATTTAATAATACTAAAACTAAAACAAATCTAAATAATATCTCAGTAACATTTTTAATAAAAGACAACAATTTTGATTAAACCGGTTTTTGACCTAGTTCGCCAATTTTCCCAAAGTTCTACTTGATGTCGATTTTGTAGTTTGAATGGACCAATTAATCAATTTCCCGATTGATCCAATTCATAAAACATATTATTGATAGCTTTAATTCAGCAATGACATTGCTCTTTGCTTTGGCAACCGTCATTTTCCTGTGTTGGATCTTCAAACATTGGATACCAAAAATTAACTATGACTTGGTTCACGGTAATGAATGGTGGTATCGGTCGGCATTGCCTTCTCTTCTGCCATCTAGCCTCTCCCTCCTTCTTCACAAACTCACCAAACTCTTTCTTTATGAGTATGAGTCAACATAGAAGTATAAAAATCAAACAATATTACATCTTTAGAAAAAAATATACTTTCAGCATATATTGCCAAACTGTAACACAAAAATTACTGATGCACATTGTAGAGGAACAAGTCAATTACTGCCCTTGTCCAATAGAATTAAACAAAATAATTCATTGGAGAAAAGAAAACCCCCGTTCTTAATCCTCCAAGCTTCATTTTAGATTCACCATTTAAAATGAAAAAAACGAATAGTCCTCAGAGCCAGTGCATGACGGCAGAGAGTTATGACTTGATCATTTTCTCAATTTAGTATGTGATCTGTTCCTTCAACAAATTATGGAATCCCTCTTACCACTTGACTTGGTGAGGAATAACCCATCAGTTGATGGAGTGGTGAACTTTTTGGCTGTAAATGTGCCTCCATTTCTGATGACACATTGGAGGAGTTCATAGCCGATTCATCTGTTTCAACTGAAGCCTTAGTGGTACTAGGACCTCTTGAAGCAGTTTTCTCCTTCTCTGTTATAGTCTCCAAAATACCAGAAGATACGGTTGGCTTATCATATTCACTACCATGCAAAGAATGTAACGGTGTTACAGACACGGGATCTCCTTCAGAGGAGTAACTCTTACCAACAGAATTGCTACAATCATCAGAATATGAAACATGGTCTACATGGGGAGAATGATAGTTGGCATGAGACTCTGACGGTGGATTCCTTCCATCTATCACCTCGTTTTGGTCATCAAGGTAACTTGATGGGGGCCCTAGAGCATTTGGTAGATAAGAGACTATATGACTTCTGTTCTGCAGAGAAAATTTGAGTACCTCTTGACATGCACCACATTTGAGCTGATGAAATACCTTTTTGAAAAGGAGGAAATCTGCAGGCAGTTGCAGCAGCTTCAAGCATTTATTACAAGTGACAAAAGGTGCTCCACCAGCTACTGGCCGGTAATGTCGCCTAGTCAAGATTGGTTTCTCCATAAAATGTTTGTTCTCCTCGGGCCTATACCTCTGATCACAAGACTTTGTTTCATGGGCATAAGCTAGGAGGTTAGAGGTCATGGACCATTGTGGACTCAAGGGATAAGAATGGTGAGGTGAGCAACAATGGTGACCTGGCTTAGGCCTACATAACTCTTCATGCTGATAAAGATCACGTGGAGGCAACTCTGCAGAGCGTTGCCACTGCTTCGGAGGGCAATTAAAACAAGAAGGATCAACATGGTGTATGCAGCATGTTGGCTCAGTCAAATAAGGTGCACGTGAAAAATTATGCTTTTGGCACCAGTTGATTCCGTGACTACATATTTCCTCACACCTTGGGTAATCCGAACCATGATAAAATCTTCTTTCATGAAGATCATGGCTTTGGCATGCAGAAATGTGACTTCCCATGGACAGTCTTCCATTTGTTTCACCACTTACATAGCTAGTTCTGTTGAGTTGATCCTGCAATTTATAAATCATTCTCAACAGTTTCATCTTCTCCTGGTCAGGGTCATCGAAGGAGTCATGTGAAACATAGCTTGAGCTGCAGTAGAACTCATCAATCATTTGATTTGATGTGCTTCCACTTTCATAGCCAGATTGTGAACCACTTCGATGGTGATACATTCTGGGTGGAAATTCATCTCTCTTTGTTCTCATCCAATGTGCATGATCATGTCTTGTAGTCTCTGGCACTTCATTTATATTCCTCCTGCTGTCTCTTGGGACACAAGGCTTTCCCTCACGTAAAAATGAACGGTTTAGTGTTTCAAGATCTCCATGTAGCATGCTGCGATTAACAACACCTTTTCCCTTTCTGGATTCCCCCTCAGAAACGCCGTTAGCAACACTGTAATTGTTCTCAAAAGAATCTATATATTGATTAAGTAACTGCTCATCCACCCCATCATTTGAAGACACACTGCCATCATAAGCTTGATAGCTTCTAGTGGTTGAAGATTTAGACAATCCTCCCAGAGTACCGCTAGTCTGAAAACCGGGATTAACTACTTCTGAGTTATTAAATGTATCCACAGATCTTTCACGATCAAAGCTATGGTCAATGGATTTGGGAGATGCATGATTCCCAGATGTACCTTTTTCAAGTTCACATGGATAAGCACATGAAATGCTTTCTTCTTCAGTACTTGACCTTTTGGCAGTAGATGTATTTCCTGCATTGACCACTTCAGATTTTGCACCCACTAGATCTGACAGGTGATCTTTAAGATCATCAACATCCGATGCACACACATTCAACTCCTCCTCTGTTACCTCTAATAACAAATTTCCGTCGTCTACTTCTTCTGATCTCGCTTTGCTGCTTCCATTAATGACCACTTTAGGATTAGCACCAACTAGCGCCAGTTTGTCATTCTTGACTGCTGCTCCATCTGATCCAGAAAACAACTCTTGTTCTGGTCCTTCTATTATCAAGTTTCCATTATTTACCTCTTCCACTACTTGTAAATAATTTCCAGCAATGTCCACTACAGACTTTACCTGTACTGAAGCTGATTTCTCATCATTGGCATCTTCTTTATCCAATGCACTAATTAACTGCTCCCCTGCTTCCAATGGCACATTTCCAATACTTAGTTCTTCACCTTCTAGTTGCAAGTTTTTATTCTTTTCATTTTCTATGGAACACTCTGCCATCAATTTTGCTGGGGCCTCATTCTCAAAATGAGTTAGCTCATCTGAACAAACATTGTTGGAAACCATTTGCATTCTCATATCTGACAATTTATGGATCTCAATCTCATTTTCCAGTTGTTCATCGGGTGAATTACAATGTTGAATCCATTCTCCGTTGCATTCACCATTTTCAATTTGATCCTTTTCATCATTTCCATTCAGAGAACATTCTCCTGAGGAAGAACTAGTTTCTTTTCCCCTCAAACCATTCTCTAGTAAAATAGCTGGCTGCTGTCCATCACATTCACCATCTTCAGTTCGATCACTTCCACCATTTCCAATCAAAGAACACTCCCCTGATGACGAACTAGATGTGTTTGCCCCGAAACCATTCTCTTGAGAAGTGGCTAACTTCTCTCCATTGCATTTATCGTCTTCAATTTTATCCCTACCCCCATTTTCATTTGATGAACATTCTGCAGAGGAAGAACTAGTTGATTTTCCCCTAAATCCATTCTCCTGAGAAGTGACTACATGATCTCCATTGCATTCACCATCTTCAATTTGATCCCTACCACCATTTTTATTCGAAAAAGATTCTCCAAAGGAAGAACTAGTTGCTCTTTCATTGAAACCATTCTCCTGAGAAGCAACTAGTTGCTCTCCATTGCATTCACCATTTTCAATTTGAACACTTCTATTTTGTCCATTCAGAGAGCATTTTCCTGATGAAGAATTAGGACAATTCTCCTGATATCTAAGTAGCTTTTCTCGGTCGATGCATTGTTTATCATCAGCTTTAGGATCCTCTGCATTTCTAAGAGTTGCGTCAGTTACATGCGTGCTCGATTCTGAGTTCACAGCCTTACTTCTTCGTTTCTTAGCTGAATGGAGCACAATGAAATTATTTCAGTTACATATAAAGAATTATCAAGGTATATGCACAGAATCAACTCATTTCATAAAACTAAAATAAATACAAGAGGAAGCCATTAGATTGGGACAGCAATATTAGCTTCCTAGAGTGGGGAATAACTATTTTAGCAAGACTTTCTTATCAATCTATCGGAGAGAATAAATCATATCAGAAAAATCAATTTGGCTTGCATAAGTTCACCAGAAAATAACAACAAACATTTTGTAAGAGCTCAGCAGACAGCAAGTGCAACAGCCACAAATTTTACAGCTCAAAATTTTTACTCCGTCACGTTTCTCTAGATAGCCTAAAGGTGAAACCATATACAACGAGATTTTTAACCTTGGAGAGTTGTGCCACATCCACCGCACTTATAAACATCATAGTCTGGAGACTCTGGAAGAAGTTGCCAGCATTTAGGGCATAACACTAATCGCGGTTTGGGTTTGGGTTTGGGAGCTGATTCGCCAGACATCTTGCTCAAAATTTGTAACAAATTACTAACAGATTTTGCAGAGTAGATCTCAAAGTGAAATACCAAGTTCACTCACAACATTCTGGCAGGAGAAAATGCTCTCCCAACCTTTCACTGCCTGCATCAAATAAGATTGAAGTTTAGCTCGAATTCTCAAAAACAATTGGCTCCTTAAATATGTAAAGAGTGTGTGATGTTCAATAAAATGAAACAACAATAAGAAAAAACCGCTAGAGGCAGAAAATCAACAAGAGATAGAGACAATAAAAGCGTTTCGTTCATATTTGGTAAATTTTGACGAAGTGGCTTTATGGATCTTGAATCAGTTAACTCTACCAACTCAAATGTAGCAAAAACCAGACATCACACTACCATCAATAAATGTTTTCGGATTAGTAAATACTCTTCAAAGAAGCATGCTACAAAGCAAATGCATAATTCTCAGAATCTATCTATTGACCACATGCTCTTCAACGGTAGTTTCATAGCTCGTAGTATTCAACCTCAAAAACTCATTTTTAAGTAGCAATTTGAGAAATTCACCACTTTTCCTATGTTCTAATAATAGGCACACGGTTATGGCGTAAGATCAATTAATTTTTTAGGTCTAAAAGTGGCAACAGCAAAAAACAAAAAAAGGAAGAATAGAGAAGATGGAGTTAAATTTCATCGAACGGAAAGTTAAAGTTCACATGATCACTCACACAAAGGCAATCACGAATCATGGATATAGGAAGATATGTTAAATATTTTCATGAAATAAGCTGATTTATAGCGTAATTTGCGGCTTGCAACAGATTTAACCAACCAAGAGAAGCCCACCCCACCAACTATATAATCAATCAACCACTCGCACCCATCACGCAAAAATAGAAAAAACAACATTTCACAATATACAAACCCACAGAGAAGAAACAAAATCAAACATCATTTTGTTTCCTCCAAAAGGCGATGTTTAAGAAAACCAGCAAAAAAATAAAAATAAAGAGCTGAGACATTCACCAGGAGAATCAAAGTATTCACATCCATGAAGTGAAATCAAAAGAAAAAACATTAAAAGGAAATTACGTTTCAAAACACACAAACCCAAAAGGAAAAAACAAAATAAAATTCATTTTTTTCACCAAAAAACGATTTTTAAGAAAAACATCAGCAGGAAAAAAAAAATACTCTCACCGGGAGAATCAAGGTGCCCAGTACGCAACAACCTCAGTTTGCAACTTAGATCGGCTCAGAAGATATGTGTGGAGAGAGGAAAGGGAAAGGGTAAAGAGGAAAAAGAAAAGAGCGAGAAATTGAAGTAAAACGAAAAGGGTGAATGAAACGAAGGTGGCGGGAAAGAAGGGGCAGAGACAAAACGATAAGCTTTATCTTTTCCAATAAGCTTTTTTCAATTTGTGAGGGAATAATAGAGAGAGGATAGAGGCAGTGGATTATGAAAGAATTGCGTACTTGTTTGCGTTGGTGTTGGATTGGTCAACTCTTGAGAAGCAGGAAGAAGGAAGGGATGTTGTTTGGGTACAAGAAGAATCCGAGTTTCATGGTCTTGTTCGTGTCCTCGTTAATTGTGTTGTGTTTGTGTTGGTTTTGAGAAAAGTGGTGAAAGAGGAAGTGATGAAAGAGACATGAGTGGAACGGGGGTTTCAGAGTCGGCGCTGTTCCCATTTAAAGCGGAACCCAACTAACCAACCACCAACTGTTTACGTGGCACTATTCTGGGTCCCACCTTTTGACTTTTACATTGGTTTGACCAGGATTAGGTTTTATCTTAGTATTAAATAACCCTGCCAGCTCAGCTAATCCCTTTCTTACACATTTATTACATTCATATTATTTTCTGAAATTATGTGTTAATTATACCTTCACATTTATTTAATTTTTATGTATAATTATATATAATATCGTTACATTCAAATTTTTAACCTTTATTTTTAAGAATTTTTAAAAACTATTTTATCACGAATGTTGGTAATTAAATGGAAGGACATATTTGTTCCTCGCATTCTCCGATGAACGGAAGATTCTGAAATATTATGAAAATCAGCGCTGTTTTCGTGGCGGATTCGAATTCGTAAACAAGAAGAGTCATAATATTTTACTTTACTTTTACTAACTTTCCTTTTAAACAATTAGAAAAATAAAATACAATTCACTCATTTTTTTCTATTAAATATTTCTTAAGATCAACATGGCATACAATAATCTCGTAATGACCACTTCTGATTCAACACATTTTCGCATATAAAATTAACACGATTTTTCATTAATAAATCTTTCATGGAACATGTCAACCTTGATTTGAATCAAGTATTCAAGATAAAAACAAAAGAGGAAAGATTGAGATATAAAAGAATTTGAAATACAACTTGTGTAGCTATAAAATAAATGGTTTTATAAAGTAAAATGCAGATTCATGATTAATATATCATCTATTTTTATTAATTTTAGTATATTTAGATATTATTTTCATTCATTTATTGAAAGAAATTGATTAACTTGTTGATTAATCATTGTTGTATAGGACTTTTTTCCAATTTTATCTTCGGCATTTTTTAAGTTTAGATATTAATGTGATAATTAAATTAATATAACCAAAAGTCAAAACACATCAAATGACTTTCCTTTTTTAAAATATAATACATACTAAACATCTTACAATCTGTAAAAATGAAACATTAACAGAAATATTAAATTTTAAAATAAACAATATCTAGTAATCGACCCAAATAAAATTATTTTAATAACATGCAGTGAATAAATTTTACTTAAGCTGATAATAACTTGAAAAAGGAAATAATGAATATTTTTACCATAAATTTGTAGACATCAAATCGATTTATAAAATAATATTTGCTAAGTGACTAAGTTTCGTGATCCAACTACAGTAAATTGATTTTATTTTATTTTATTTTATTTTATTAATCTTTAGTTATTTAATTCTCATATAAGAAAAAATTAGAAAATATTTAATGGTTCATTCTTTCTGCAAGTCCGATTTTTTTTTCTATTTCATAATCTATATAAAATGATAGAAATATCTTTTTACTAATTCTTATTTTAAATCTTAAAGTTTTTTCTCTTCCGCTTTTCTACATTTCCATATTCTTTATCCACCTTCATAATTTATATAATTTCATTTTTGTTGTGGTTTAAAAAATTGCTAATGTTTCGTACGTATTATCTGAAAACGGGGTTAAAAGTGAATATAGAGATCAAACTCCTCAATTTAGAACGCATTTTTCATGATAAAAATAAATTATATAACACTTAATTCAAAATAAATTTTCAGAAGAGTGAATATAAAAATATATTTAAGAAATGAATTTTAGATGGGATATTTTATCTATAATGTATTTTTAGATTTACTGTTATAAAAATAAATTCTAAAATACCTCATCCAAAATATATTTATGGAATTATCAATTTAAAAATACATTTTAGAATATTTAATCTAAAATATATTTTCGTATTGATTATTCTGTAAATGTATTTCAGAATATCTAATTTATAATATATTTCTGAAAAAGTTAATTTTGAAATAAGTTCCAGAAATATGAACATATTATGATAAAATATGATTTAATGTAATTAAGAGGGTTTAAGAATAAATATGGAAGTTTAGAAAGAAACAGCCTTTATAATTCCATGAAGTAACAAGCCCATTATACTGAAACCCAAGACTACTGGACCAACCCAGGTCCATGTACCCACTTCAGTGGCCCTATTTAGTTAGTCACTCTGGATATTTTCATCTGTTCATTATAAAAATATTTTAATTTTATTTATATACAACGTATGTTTCATATACTTATAATACAATTCGTATATTCTATTAATTAATTGTTATTAATAAATGAGTTAATAATCTCTTAAAACGAAACATATTAAGTGGAAGATATTCTATTACATTTTTAATATATTACTTAATTACAACGACACCATAAATCTTAATATAGTAAAATCCTTAGCTAGAGTTAAAATATTCATGGAGGAACCTATAATTAAAACCAGAAGATGAAAATTGAAAAGCATGTGGTCGATATGTCCGAGTGGTTAAGGAGACAGACTTGAAATCTGTTGGGCTACGCCCGCGCAGGTTCGAACCCTGCTGTCGACGATTGTTTTTACAATTAAAAATTGAATTTATTATTGTAATAGTAATTTTGAAATGAAGCTTGTGAATTTTGACGAGGAGGAAAAAGTTGGAAGGTGTGTTGTGGAGGGACAAATCTCCATTTCCAAAGCAAAATCCTATTCTCTGCACGAATGTACGTGTAATTGTTTAAAGAGGGTTACTTTTACTTATATGCGCGTCCTATGGAACGCACAATTTGAAACTTTTTGAACCGCATGATTGTGATCATGATCGTGGTTCATGAGTCCCACCCTCATCTTCAACGCAACACCTTATCTTTCATGCTAGTTATGTTCACATTTTCAAACTTTCTTATCATGGATGAAAAGGACCTCAACCCATAAAGTATCTCCATTCACTCTTGATTACACTTCTTCTTAATCTTATTTATGCATGCTTTATTTATGTTTTTCATTATATAAATCATGTTCATTTTTATTTACGCATGTTTAAATCAATTTTATATATATATATATATATATATATATATATATATATATATATATATATATATATATAATCCATAATAATGGTTGAGATCGAGTATACAAATCAGTTTTCATTCATTTTTTCTATCAATATATATTATTTACTTTCTTAGAATGCAATTTATTCATTTTCGAAGAGTGTCGTTTAATTACAAGTTATAACATGTAAATATTTACTTTATATTGGTTGACCTATATAAAGAAGTTAAATTCATATAAATATGAATTTGTCTTAAAAAAAAAAAAAAGGGGAAGCGTGATGGTATTTATTCTCTTACCAGCAAAATTTGAAAGCAAGTTAAAATCTTAAGAAGGGGAAGCATCATGTTGGTGAAGGAAGAGAAAGCCATGGCAGTGAGTGAGGAAAGTGCTGATCCAATAGGAACAATTCCCTTGTTGAAGCAGCACTTTGTGCTGGTGCATGGCATTGGTGGAGGAGCTTGGTGCTGGTACAAAATCCGGTGCCTTATGGAGAATTCTGGCTACAAGGTCTCATGCATAGACCTCAAGAGTGCAGGAATCGACCAGGCTCATGCTGATTCTGTTCTTTCTTTTGATGACTACAACCAACCCCTCATGGATTTCTTGTCTGCTTTGCCAGAAAATGAACAGGTTTTGGTCTTAACCATGATCAACAACTATTAGATGGCTTAGTTTAGCTACCTTCACATGCAAACTGACCCCATGTGTTATGCAGGTGATATTGGTGGGGCACAGTGCAGGAGGGTTGAGTGTTACCGAGGCTTGTCACAAGTTTGCCAACAAGATCGGCTTAGCAGTGTATGTGGCAGCAACTATGCTCAAGTTAGGATTCTGGACAGATGAAGATCAAAAACATGTGAGTACTTTCACCAAATCTCTTCTCAGCATTGAATTATTCAACATTCATACATACAGGACGCTTCTTTCCTATTAGTAATATATACATGTATGCAAACAGAAGATTAAGTACTGTGATATTAAACTATGATATTAGGTATATGAAGTTATAAATATTGTATAATGATTCTAAAACTGTTATGCTATGGTTGTAGTTGTGGCTGTGTTTGTGAACTGGTTTTTAAAACCTTACTCAAGTGAGTAAGAATATGTATAGACTTGGTATGTGATAGTGATGGTTATAGGTTTCCATTGTTTTCCAACTTTCGGACACTTCAAGTTCCAGCAAAGTTGACGTTGATGTTGATGCTCTGTTGAAATAAGATGATGGCCAAGTGTCTTCATTAATCTGAGACACGCACCAACTCTCACATTTTTCAAAAGAAACCCACACACAAACAAACTACCTAGTAGCTGTTCAGCAATATGACGACAAGGTGTTAAACAAAAGCAAAAAATAATTAACAAAATGAAATTTAATGTTCACTCTTTCTATTCTATTTTAACTTCGTCTCTTTTCCTCAGTTTCTTTTCTTATTTATGTTTATTTTAGCTAAACCTTTGTCAAATTGCGAGTTCTTCTCAGGATAATATTCCTTAAATTTGTAATTTAAAGTCAACTTAGTTTTTGAAAGGACCAAAAATCTTATTTAATATCTGAATATGTTAAAAATGTCTAAAGTATGTTCTTTAATCAAAGTGTATATTTACTTGTTCTTTATATTATATACAAAATAAGGGTATCCACGATGATCATTTTTACGTCAGTTGAAAGTAAAATTTCTCTTCAAGTAAAAATATAACATGATAAATTGATAAACGTCAAAGGACTTTACTTTATTTAAGTTTGAAGGAAGCTTCTTTTTTAAGCGTTTGACCATAAACTAGATAGTTGTAATTTTATAACATAGTCAGCAAAGTAGGTATTAATTCACACAATCTTTTACACCTAATGCATTCTCGCCCATGATTTTCTCATCCATCTTCTTCTATCAAATATTTTTCTCTTTTATATTCACTTGTTATAAATTAATCTATTTGATTATTAAAGTTAGTTTATAAATTTGAATTTTTGGTAGGAAGAAATTCAATCACAGATAAAGATAAATCTAATAAAATTTCATGTTTCCCTTTCAGACTGTGTCCCCCATCATTGTCAATAATCTTGTGCAATCTGAACCCTCACTGAAACATCTATATCTTGTGCTAACACTCATAATCACCTTTCTTAGCCATGTTTTCTATTTTGGAGACATGAAATTATCTAATTTAGAGTCTTCTAGCTTTAATTTTATGAATTACCCGACAGCCTGTTCCACAAGTGATGTTTGTGTTCCGGAGGAGGTGGTGGTGTTTATGATAGAGAATTTTCACCGTGTTCGAAGGGTATCTTCAATGATTGAAAAGAAACTAAACAATCAGTGATCCTAATTGCCATTTTTGCATGACAATAGAGTAGCTAATTGCTTTTTGAGCCTCATGTAAATAATGGACACAATGATGGTGATGTTGATTTGTGTCATGCAGGGTGTACCTGACCTATCTGAGTTTGGGGATGTATACCAGCTAGGATTTGGATTGGGACAGGATAAGCCTCCAACCAGTGCTTTGGTGAAGAAAGAGTTTCAACGCAAAATCATCTATCCTTTAAGTCCACATGAGGTATGTGCTTAAAAGGAGGGGAAAAGGGTCATGCATGCTGTGCTTTATCTACACAACTGTTTATCTAACCCATGTTCACTTACTCAGACTCACCCTTTGGCTCCAGGGTATACCCCACATGCCATGTACTTTTTGCTATCTTCAATTTCATTATCATCTGCTTGCTTTTGTCACTTGTGGGACCATTTATGGCAGTTTTCTCGGAAAATGATGAAAACACAGAAAATTTATCCAGATTAAAACATCCTTGCAGAACATTCTAGCGGTCTAGTGATAGTAGTATTTAGAGTAATGTTTGTTGGACACTCATGTAAATGTCCATCAACAAAGAAATAGAAGAGAAAGTTAATGAATAATGAATGATTAATGTATAATGTAATAACTGATATATAATGTGATAAAAGAAAGAAATAGAGGAAAAAAATGCGGTAGTTGGATGTATATACAGAATAGGTTTAGGGTTTAAAAGAGAGACCAAAGTTATGAAACAAATGTTTGTAATAATAGTGGTGATGTATATATATAATATAGTATATACCTTCATATTACTACCCTTATGAATATTTGAAAGAAATGTAACTGATGAAAGTGAACATTATTAATGTGACAATAGGATTCAACCTTAGCTTGTATGCTGTTGAGGCCAGGACCTATTCTGGCACTGGCAAGTGCAAGGTTTGAAGAGGATGGTGAAGTGGAGAAGGTGGGAAGGGTGTACATAAGGACAAGGCATGACAATGTGGTGAAGGCAGAGCAACAAGAAGCCATGATAAAGAGGTGGCCACCATTGAGTGTGTATGAACTAGATAGTGACCATAGCCCCTTCTTCTCCACCCCTTTCCTCCTCTTTGGTTTGCTTGTAAAAGTTGCAGCTTTTGACGTTGGATGCAACAACACCTTTCAGACTAGTCCACCCTCTTAGCTTTTCTCTACTTTTCTTTGTCTCCAAACCATGTGCTGTGAAAGATCAATTTGGTATATAGTTTTCCTACAATACTACTTGTGTTCCACCCACATTGCATTTATATTTTATTAATAATCACGTATAGTTTCTCAAAAAAGTTTTTTTTATTTTACCTCTTTTAACTTTTTTTAGTATCTTTTATTGTCATTGTCATGCAAGGTACATTTGTGTCGGTCGTAACATATTGGATTTTTAACGTGAATGACCCATAATAGATTGGACTTTTAAAGTGAATTTTGTCCAATTGGACTTTTAAAGTGAATTTTGTCCAATAAAGAAGTGTTTTTTTTTTCTTTTTTCTTTAAGTTATTCCTCTAATTTCATTTTTTTTCATAAAGAGACTGAATTTTCCTCTGCGAATTCCCAGTCAATATCTGAAGAGTATAATGTTTTGGGATTTCCCAAGAGCTTTGATACGGTGTTCCTCCCTATAACCCTAAAAAGGATCGCTTTGTCATCAATCCCAGGTTTGGAAGTTTTGACTCAACAAACTTTTGGAGAACAAAGTTGCTTGCTACGTTGAAAAACTTGAAGAGCATTATGGAATCATTATATTAAGCATCGATAAATGAACAACTTGAGTTGTAAAAATTTATAGCTTTAGGTTCCCAAAAAGTAAAATTTAATTTTGAATTGATCTTTAAATATTAAAATAAGTTTAGAAATTCAACACAAAGTGTAATTGTTACACGTTTTAAACATTCAAGAATTAAATAAGAAGTTAATTATTTTAGAAACTAGATTGATAATGATTTATATTTTTAGTTACCATGACCATTTTGTGCTTAAAAAACATGTGTAAAATAAGAAATATGCATTTAAAGCAAATAATGAAAAATAGGCATCTTCAGCAAAACTTCGTTGGAAAACTACTCAAAAGAATCAAACAAACAAATAGGACAAGTTCACATGCTATATTAATATTGATTAAAATGGATTCCATTATTGGGCAATATTAGACCAATAAACGCGTCAATGATGTAATAAAATGAGTTTTGAACATGAATTTGGGATTAAATAATAAATTAAGTTAGTGAATTCAGAGGTGAAGAATAATAATATGGAATTTGATTTGCATACGCAAAGAAAAGGAAAGATGATGGGATGATAAACAATTGCGTACAAGTTCATCATCTTCGCTGCAATGTATTCTGTTGCTTTGCTTTAGTTTCATTTAATCGGATCAAAGGCAAAGTCTTTTGAAATCTATTCATTTGGTGTTTTTCTAAAAAATTAGAAAGAAAAATCATCTTTTTAAGTTGTGTTTGATACTAAATCTTGTCCACTTTTCTTCGGAGTCAACTCATGTTCATCTGTTCTGCACGACATCGAAGCCGCGAAAAGAATAACCGCCGCCGAAACTAATTTAACTTTGGAAATAGAAATAATATTATTATAAATATTATTAAGAAGGAATTGTTAAAAAAAAAAAAGGAATACCCTTTTATAGTTTCCCTTGTTTACGGCTCTGATCTGCATCTCCTCAATGTGAGTAAGCTTTCAAACTCTTTCCAGAACTTGTTTCATGTTAGTATTTGGTTTTTTTACTCATTTTTGTTTTTGTTAAAAAAAAAAAAATCTAACAAGGTGTTTTATGGATGATAATGAGCTGTGGCTATGTCTTATGAAATTATACTTTTGTTCTTGTTCTTTTTACTTTTCAATAATGTCTTTTAGTGTTTATGTTATCTCATCATTTGAACTTCTCTGAATTGTGGTTTTCTATCATTGATTGTTGTGATCTGTGATTGCATATTTGATCCTATGAACTCACAAGGCGGAATTCACCAAGGAAATTTAGTTTCTTTGGAGCCCAAATTGAAACTGCCAATGCATTTTTTTTTCTTTTCTGGAAAGAAATGATATTCATTTGAATTCCTCCTCCTCCTTCTCCCACTCCCCCTTACTGCAATTTCATTCTTCCTTTTGTTTCTGAGTTTAAATGTTTGTTGCAATCTCTGGTGCTGTTGTATTTGTATGTAATTCCCTCCGTTCTACACTTTAATGAAAACAACTTGAATTAACTGTTCTATTGCCCTGAATTACAGAATTGATAACCTGATCTTCATGAATTTGACAAGTGCTGCTACATCCACTGTTTCCTGTAAAGCGGGAAGCAATAACAACTTCCTTTTCTGGATTTTGGTTTGCTTCTTGCTACCAACTTTTCTGGGAGCTCCTGAAGTATATGCTTATTTTCAATTAATAGAGCTCATTGTTGGGGTTCCACGTTCCTCCATTTGGGGTGTACCCTTTTGGCAAGGCACACCAGTAGTTCTGAAGATTCTTAATCTCATTTTGTGCACTCTCCTTTTTTTATCAAGGAGCAATGGTTTCCTCTCAGTTCTCTGTCTTAAATGGAAATAGTTCATCAAGGTCTTTCCTGAATCAGTTGGTTCTACCAAATGGTCCACCTGATCTTTTGCCATCTTCGACTTGTGAGGATTTTGATTTTTCTGATGTGTTTGGTCCATCTCCTGTTGAAGCCTCAATAACACTAAGCTCCGAGAAACATGGAGATTCCGTAGCTACACGAGGTTCAGATGAAAAGATTTACAACGATCCTGATTGCATTCACATCCGCTCTCAATCTTTATTGGCTCCCATAACTTGTATTGGTCAGTCATTGCAGCTTAGCAAGCTCACCTTACATGAGACAGAAGATGAATTGGATCTTGAGGAGGTCTTAATAGAAACACAGAAAGAACTTAAGGAACATTCTGTTAACAATGCAGCAGTGGAGAAAAATAATTTATACTTCAATGATTATTGTCTGAATAATCAGACTATTGGAGTTGAGGATTTTGAAGTTTTGAAGGTTGTTGGGCAAGGTGCTTTTGGAAAGGTGTATCAGGTGAGGAGGGCAGGTAGTTCTGAAATATATGCTATGAAGGTGATGCGCAAGGATAAGATCATGGAGAGAAACCATGCTGAATATGTAAAATCTGAAAGGGATATACTGACAAAGGTGGACAACCCATTTGTTGTGCGGCTCAGATACGCTTTCCAAGTAATACTTTTGACCGAATGAAGTTAATTGTCATATCATATGTTTCAGTGTTAGGTTAGGAAAAATTGACGGTACTATCATATATGCATAATGACATACTTTTTTGGACTTGCAGACCAAATATAGGCTGTACCTTGTGCTTGATTTTGTCAATGGTGGCCACCTTTTCTTTCAGCTCTATCACCAAGGCCTATTCAGGTATTATAAGCCACATGCTGTGACTATATTATGAAATGCTTATACATATCTGTCTCACGCGCAACTTTTTTTCAGGGAAGATTTGGCACGCTTCTATGCTGCAGAGATTATTTGTGCCGTTTCTTATCTTCATGCAAATCATATAATGCACAGGGATCTTAAGCCTGAAAATATTCTTCTCGATGCAGATGGTCATGTAAGTTAATATAAAACCTATTTCTGTGATTCTGTATCTCTGCATTAGGCATGACATATGCCTGCGTATTTATTCTGAAGTGATTTGTGATTTGTTTCTAACTTTGATCTTGTTGTATATGGCATATTCATGATATCAGGCACTGTTAACAGATTTTGGCCTGGCTAAGAAATTCAATGAGACTGAAAGATCTAATTCTATGTGTGGAACTGTAGAGTACATGGCCCCTGAAATTGTAATGGGAAAAGGCCATGATAAGGCAGCTGATTGGTGGAGTGTGGGAATTTTAATATATGAAATGCTTACAGGAAAGGTTAGAATCTTGGTACTTTTTTCGTCTTCTTTTAGTCATTTTTCTAATTTGACATATCTCTCTCAAGCATTTACTACTGAAGATGGAGCTCGGATTACATTGAACTTGATAGATCAACTTGATTATCTTAGATGCAATTGACTTTTTTCTACTTTCATGAAAATATTTGAAAGTTATTCGGAAATTGCTTTGTTTGTAATGAATTGCAAAATAAGTTTATATATATCTCTGATCTGCATGAAAATTATTTTGTTTCTGAAGCAAGAAATATAAGTTAATACTATATTAACCTGAGAATGTGGCTGATGATATCAACCTCCAAATGAATTCTTCTAAGATTATGGTGAATGATTTCGATTTGCTAGTTAAATAGCCAGTAGTTCATAAAAAATGATATCTTCGATTTTCTTAAATTGTGATGCTGTGTTTTACAACTTTGATTGTTTGACCTGGTGTCTCTTACAAAGTCCAGCCTGAATACTATTATTGTTAAACATGATTGTATTTAAAATCCTGTATCTGAGCAATTGCCAATAATGCCGTTACGATTGTTGAGGTGTAAAGATCGGTCAAAGATAGGGAACTTCCTCGTAAGTTCCTGGTCAA